AAAAAAAAAAAAAAAAAAAAAAAAAGGCAAAACAAAACAAAAACCAAGACAAAAAAGAAATAACAACTTACCAAATCCCAAAGTCCAATTTGCCCAGATTTGGAGCCAGCTGCTACCAGAATTCTACTTTCTGATGGGTGCACAGCCACAGAAGATATGGAGCCTTTGGTAACTTTATGAACAGTATCTTCATTAATGACCATGTCATTTAAATTGGCTTTATAGCTATGAAAATTAAAATATTGAATTTTAAAGTAAAATCAATCTCAATAGTCAAAATAAGTAAAAGATAATTCAAAAAGAAAAACCACTATTAATAAACACATGCTAGAAATATTCAACCTCCTGATAACCAAGTAAATTAAGTTGAACAATAAGGTACCCAGCTAGCTCAGTCAGTAGAGCATGAGACTCTTTAAGTTAAACAATAATGTACTATTTTTCAATTATAAAATGGCCTTTGAAAAAAAAAAATAATAAAATAAAATAAAATGGCCTTTGACAACTTTAATGACATTAAAAATTAATAGAATAGAACTCAGGAGACTAAGACAGAAAGGTTATCACATGTTCAAAGCCAGCCTAGGCTGTATAGCAAGTTCAAGGCCACTTGAATTACACAGCAAGACTCTGTCTCAAATGATAAATAATAAGGATTTTTTTTTTCTCGGAATGCCTTCAGGGCAGGTTTGGCTGGCTTGAGTTGTGGGGATCGAACCACAGCAACCTGAGCCTGACTGCTTTGTCGAAGCAGCCACTTAAAGAGCTGAGCTAAGGGGCAGGCCCCCTCAAATGATAAATAAATAAAAATAAGCTTCAATAAAATTTGGACTGGGGCTGGGGAGATGGCTCAGTGGAATAAGTGCTTCCTTGGCAAGTACAAGGGCCTGAGTTCAATCCCTGGTTCCACCAAAAAAAAAAAAAAAAAAAAAAAAAACCTAAAATTTGGACTGGGGATGTCGCTCAGTAGTGCAGCACCCGACTAGACTACACAATACCCTGTGTTCAATTCCTAACAATACAAATATCTTACCACAAGCATACATACAAACTCACATATATTGCTAGTGACAGAGTAAACAACATTTTTCTGCATGTGTGGCACTAGGTATTAAAGCAAAGGCCTCACACATGCTAGGTAAGTGCTCTGTCACTGCCCTGAACCCAGCCTTAGCAAGTGTTTTTAAGCCAGAAAAAAATCGGTTTAAATCCTGGTTTTGGTGCCAAGCCTACGTGATCATAATCAATGACGAATGGGTAAGACATGATTTTTTTAATACAAGAGTACTACTCTGTCTTAAAGAAGGATAAGTGAGACATTTCTGGCTAAATGGATGCACTTTCAGACCATACTCGTAAGTGAAATATATCAGACATACATGTATAAATATCTCATGATTTCTCTTGTATGAGAAACTGAAAGTGTAAATAAGGACCAAAATATATAATAGGTATTGGGAGAAGAGAAAAAAATGTTCAAATGCGAAGGGCAACAAAGGAGGCTGGAGGGGGATAAGAAAAATTGAAGAGAAGAAAAAATGGAGGGGCCAGGGAGATGGGTCAGTGGAATAAGCGCTTCCTTGGCAAGGGCAATGGCCTGAGTTCAATCCCTGGTTCCGCAAAAAAAAAGAAAAATGGAAACAAAGTTTTTATAAATACAGGACTGAAGGGAGGGAGGGTAAAGGAAAAAAAAGCAGCAACAAAATATATCATGTACAAGTATCAACTCCCTACAATGAATGTTAGCACCATGTATATCTAAAATGTACCAATAGAGCCAGTGAGATAGCTCGGTGGTCTAAAGCACCTGCTTAGGCAAGCGGCAGAACCGTAGTTCAATTGCAGCATCACATGTCATGCCAGCCCCACCCCCAGGGCAGGGTGAACTAGCAAAAATAAGAATACTAAGAATAATAAATGCATGAATAAAATACAAAGAAAAAGTCCTGCTTTTGTCACAATGCTCTCTTTTCCTGTGACCTAATAGAATTAACTAACTTCTTTCCATTGTTTCTTTATCTATAAAATGAGGGCAATACCTGTCTTATAAGAATACAAGTGCTGGGGCTGGAGAGATGGCTCAGTGGTCTAAAGCACCTACTTGAAACAAGCTTGGCAAAGCACAGGGACCACGGTTCGATCCCCCAGCACCACATGCCAGCCAGCCC